CAGCATAATAGTGAAAAAATTTTTAACCATTGGGGAAGCTTTAAAAAATAACTTCCCCAAATAGTAGGCGTGCATAGCGGTGGCAATTGGGCGGATTGGGTTGGGTTTGGTTTGGGTTGAACTTCAACCAAACCCATCTAACCCACCAACCCAATAATGACCCAATTATATAAAATTAAAGGGGTTGGGTTCAATCCAAGCCCGTTTTAACCCAATCCAACCCGTCTAAACCCATTAATCTTAACAAATACTAACTCTCTCTTAACAAATAAGTTGGTCATAGCTTGGTGGTAATTGTTAGAGGTGTAAAGTGGGCCGTGTCGGGCTAGCACTACACGGCCCGTGGGCGGCTGCATAAAAGGCAGGCTGTGTAGTGCTGGCCTGTGGGCCGTGCTGCCCTCCCCGGTGGAAATTTTGGGGGTCGGCCCAGCACAGCCCATGCCCATGTGGGCCCGTGTCATGTTGTGCCATGATGCGGGCTTGGGATGGGTCGGGTTGCAGGCCGTGCCATGGGCTTGGGCCATAGGGCAGGCCTTGGGCCTAGGCCAAATCGGGCTACACTGTTTTTTAATTTTTTTTTTATTTTTAAAATTTTGATTTCTTTTCTAAGTAAAATTGTAAAACTAAAATATTTAACCTTTCTTTGAACTTTGTGAATTGGGAACTATTTAAAAAATTAAGAAATGAGAAACAGTTAAGTTTATGTTATTTTCTTATTGGTTTAATGGGTAATTATGTGGAATTAAAAAAATAAAAAACAAGAAAAAACAATGTTTCTCTCAAATTGGTGGTCCTAGAATTTTTTAAATCCAACGTCCTCTAATTTGCAATAGGAGTAACTATTTGTTTCACTCTACTTCATTAAGGCTGTGTTTGGTTGCAATGCAAATTCATTTGCATTGATGCAAAACTATAGTAGTACAAATGATTTAGCTGCAAGTTGTGATTTATTTTTGTTTCAAATTTTACCTTATTTTGTTTGGTTGCATTAAAAATGAAGTAAAATAAGACCTAAAGCATTACAAAGTAAAATCCAAAACAAAATTAAACCAAAATTTGTATTTTTTTTTTCAATTGCACTCCCATACATTTGTACTGTTAAATAAAATTGCACTGCAACCGAACACAACATAAGCTAATAACTTTCTCATGATATCTAACATCAACAGATGGGGCATCTTTCTAGCAACCATCTGAATCTTTTGTCTAAAGACATTTTGGGTTTGATAGTTCCTAACTCTGAAACTCATGCTATTTTTCTTTCCTTTTACAAACTTATTGAAACTCAATTTGGTCACTAAATCCAACAAGTTAGGAATGACAATGGCCTTGAATTTGATGTGGACGATTTCTTTAATGACAAAAGGATTGTTAACCAACAGAGTTGCGTACACACTCCACAACAAGATGAAATTTTTGAATGGAAATGAACTCCGCCACATCATTGAAGTTGCCCGTGCCTTATCGTTTCAGGCCAAACTACACACCTCTGTATCTGGTTGTTTGTGCTATGAAATGATAACAAATACCACTTAAACCAAATTTAATCCACATCCATGTAAGTGTATTTTTTAGGGTATCCATATGACAAAAAGGAGTATCGAGTTTATGATTTTGAAACTCAAACTACTTTTGTTTATTGTGATATTGTCTTTCATGAAGATGTCTCTCCCCTCTCATCAAGTGAAACTAATTCCTCTCATATTTACCATTACCCATGCCAAATTTACCTGTCACTCCACCTGTTGGATCTATGGCCCCACCATCCTTACATGAATCGTCCTCAACTCCTTCTTCACCTTCCCGATTATCTTTGTTAGATTGCTACTAGCTCCTTGATCAATCCATCATCTACTTCTCTCTTGTATTTTATCTTATAATAAATTATCTCATGCTCACAATGACTTTTCAGTGTCCATCGGTTATGTGCGATCCTTTATGGAGGCAAACTATGGCTAAGGATATTTAAGCTCTTAAAACTAATAATACCTGGACCCTCACTTAACTACCTCCAAATAAATCATCTAAATGAAAATGGGTCTACAAAATCAAGTATAAATTTTATGGCTTAATTTAACAATATAAATCTCATTTTATTGCTAAGGGATATAAATTTGATACTTTTATTTCCGCCCCATGTTGAAGCAGAATATAGAGATATTGCCTCTACTCAAGGTTCAAAGTATCGGAAACGCAAGGTATATCGAAAAGACAATTTTAAGAGACGAATCGGGATACGTTTTGGATATGCATGGATATAGACGAAAAATCAAGATACGTATAAATATGTTAGGAAATTCAAATAAATCATAAAAAAATATTATTAGCAATACTTACAAGTTTTTATGATTGCAAATAAGTCATTTAAATGTAAAAAAACATAATTTAATGTTTATCTAAAATGTGACATATCGAGATATAATTAGCTATCATTGAAAAATGATGGAATAACTAAAATGTGAAAAAAACAAAAATATGAATGTATATGCATCAATTTTCAAATAACCATTATAATTATATTAATATTTATTAGTATATAAATTTTAATAATTAATTTCAGCATTTATTAATAAGCACCACTAAAAAAAAGAGAAAATTGACTTAAAAATGCAAATGCATATAATTGCAACAAACAAATTGGAGTGGTTTAGTGGCAAATTTATGGACATTAAAATGAAATGATCAAGCATCAAGTCTTGTTATTGTTTAATACTTGTAGTTTTTACACTAATAAAACAAAATTAATGAGAGAGAGAATCATTAATTAATAGAATTAATGAGAGAATTGTAATTAGGCGCTAAAATTCAAATTTAAATTTAAAATTTCCTTAAATATAGGAGTAATTAACTAATTAATGAAGATGTTAGAATTAAACATAGGAGTAATAAACAACATTAATGAGAGAGATTTAGTATTAAATATAAATTAATGAAATTAATGTAACAAGGGGAACCGAAACAATTCGGTTTGTATCAGCCTATTTTAGGTTAGTATCCACCAATACAGATCCGAAACAGCCTGATTCGGGCCCATATCGGCCGATACATACGAAAAGAAACGAAACACATGTTTTTTACACATTCCGTGTATTAATTTCTTATCGGAACTGTACGTATCAACCGATACGACACGATACATTACGATATTTTAAACCTTGCCTCTACTTGTTGTGAGTTCCAATTGTTATTTTATTTATTACAAGATTTACTAGTATCTCATCATTAGCCTATTTTTCTTTATTGTGACAATCAAATATAAAATTTGATGGCTCCATTTAACGATATAAAAATCATTTTATTGCTAAGGGATATGAATTTGATAGCTCCATTCCTACTCCATGTTGAAGCAAAACATAGAGCTATTGCCTCTACTTGTAGTGAATTCCAATGGTTATTTTATTTATTACAAGATTTACAAGTATCTCATCATCAGCTTTCTTTTCCTTTATTGTGACAATCAAGCTCTACAAATTGCTGCTAATATTATATTTCATGAACGCACAAAACAATGAGATTGACTGCCACATTGTACAAGAAAAGCTTCAACAAAGCTTGATTTGCACTGCACATGTTTCAACTTGTAATCAACTTGTCCATGTTTTTATCAAACCCCCAGGTGCAGCACAACTTCGTGATCATCTAACACAGGTTAGACATTCTCAAGACTCATGCCCCAACTTGAGGAGGGTCTTAGCAATTTGTTACCTTGTATATCTAATATAGAATTTGGATTTGTTCCTCATAAATCGCTCTTCACACCTAACTCACAACATCTACCAGCCGCAGATTGGGAATATCTTCCATACTTGTATGTTATTATTCATGGGAGATGTTCCCAATATGCAAAAGTAAATGACACTTATTGTAAGAAGGTTGATTCAATTTAATATACACAGAAATTCTGTTCTCATTGTCCTTGTGTCTAGTTTTTTTTTTTTTTTTTCATAAAACTAATTTATAATTTGAAACTGGATCGTTTTTCCAGTTGATCCATAATGAGAACCGTGAACTGAGCACTTCCTTGGTTTAACAATTTGAGTGATTTGATTGATTTGTAGTTAAACTACCCGATTAAATTGTGATATTGTTAACATAAATTTCGTGTATTTAATTAATACAAAATATGGAGACAAATTAAAAAATAAAATTGCAATAAAGAAAATACAAGGGAATTAAGTCTCTTTGATTCTGTTCGATGATGTGAGCAACCTGTGATTACCGTTCGAATTCCGTGAAGATGTGGGCTGGTAGCGTATTTCTCATACTTCCTGAAATGTTGATATATATTTGATTTTGTTGATTTTGGAAAAGTTGATGTAGATTTTTTCACTCTAAGCTTCACACTTTATCGGCTGTGAAGAATGCTTTTCTAAGAAGAGCCTTTCTGTAGTGGCTTGATCTTCTTGAAAGAGTTTGAATAAGTGTGAAATAGAGAACTAAGAAGCTTCTTCCTTCTTTCTTCTCTCTTGACGTTGAAGCATAGTTGAAGCTTACAAGACTTTGTAGTTGCTTGCAATTCTCCCTACACAAGGCTATTTATAACTTAGGATTAGGGTTGCCACCTTAGCCCACTTTGCTAATCAATTCCATGCAAGTCGAGTGTTGGATTAGGGTTAACTCCCATACATTCTCCATTACGAATGGGACCATCCTATTATAATAGGACATGGGCCTAATTTAACTTAATATACTTGGATCCTTGGACCATTTTATCATGTTTTCATGACCTTGGGCCTTGGGCCTCCATAGGCCCATATTAATTCGGGACATTTATTTGACTTAGAAATTCACATGTCTACTAATACTATTACAATTGGATCAAACTGATCAAAGTATAAAAATAAAATTTAGAAAAAAAAAACAGCAATAATAAGAATGCTGACGCTGCTGTTGTGTATCAAGCACTTTCAAGTGTTGCAAGCAAAATTTAAGAAACATCTATAATTCTATACTGCATCACCTTGCGAGGTATCCCTCAGATTCATGCCTGGTTAATTATACTAGAGCCTTTCAACAAGCCATTCATGCCCTATCTGATAGTAATGCCTTATATGTGGAACGTGATCAACCAATGGACGATCCAGGCCCTCTGGCCCCCTTAGTCTCCATAAGAGTTCATCCGCCACCTCCTGCAGGTACAGTTGACTGAGTCCCTGGAGATATTCAATGCCCTGAGGCAGCGATTTTAGCTCCGCACATGCAGTTAGCTCTAGCTTTTGGATGCACGGCATGGCTCCCTTCTCAATTATAACGCAATTCAATTGTGATAATTCCCACAAAGTGAGCCCCTTGAGTTTAAGGAACCATCCACCACGGAAGCACAACAGTGGCCCGTTGTATGCTTTGACAAGTTGAAGGAAAGCTAAGTTGGGCAAGGCTTGAAGTGAAGGAAGAGGATCTTCTCTTAGCCGAGACCAACGCAGACACAAACGAGTGAGGTTCCTGAGGGTGCCTAAACAACGAGGGACCTTCTCCAAGTACCCAGACAATCTGAGTGTTTGTAGAAGAGGTGGTGCTGGAGATAGTGCTTCCAGTTGAAGCGGTTCATTCTCGTTGAGTGCCACCATGTTCAAGTTGAGGAGGTGGCTCATCTTTTGTATGGACTGACACAGTTCTGCTCCGTCGACAGCTCTCAGTTTTGTGATTTCAAACCTTTTAAGTTGGGTCAAGTTCCCAACAAGTCTGATTATCTTGCTGTTTGCTTCAATGCTGGCAAGAGTTCTTAAGTTGGCTAATTTCCATATTCCTGTGGGAGCTCGGATGCTACTAATGGAATTAAAAGTCTTATAATTTCGATCGATGAATTGATACATGAGAAGATATTGCAAGTTGAGTAGTTTTGCCAATCCATTGGGCAGACTCTTCACATTTGTGTGTCTGACATCCAAGGTTTCTAACCTCTGGAGCTTTCCCAATGATCTCGGAACCTTCTTAATGTTGGTCTCTCGAAAGCTCAAATAACGTAAATTGAACAACTCATCAAACAAATCATCCGGCACAGTTTCTATAGGAACCCCTGTAAGATCCAAGACCCTCAACAGCCTAAAGCTTGATAGTAGAGTTGGAAGCCAAGAAGGAGAAACTGTAGCAGTGAGAAACATGAAGAGAGAACGTAGACGAGGCATGCTCGCCGTGCTTAGGCTAGATTGAATTGTGTTGTCATTATTCAGGATGGACAAGTGCCGTGCTTTTCCATTTCCATCTTCTCTCGCTTCACGCCCATCGTGTACTGTACAGAAGTTTTCTTCTTCAGAAGCCGATAGAGCTAGCTCTCGCATGAGATCGTGCATTCGACATGCTTCCACCATTCCAACATCATCCTTCACTGCAACTTGAAGCATGTTCCTTCGAATGAGCTCGCTTAGGTAGGCCTCGGCGACCACATCCTTCGGAATTCCTCGCCTCTCTTGAATAAACCCGGCTGCTATCCATAGCCTGACTAACCTCTGTCGCTTCATTATATAATCCTCTGGAAACAGACTGCAATACAAGAAACAATGCCTAAGATAGTAGGGCAAATCATTGAAGCTAAGTGACAAAATGCTCTGAACACTTTCCAACATTGGATTGTCTCTTAGCTCCCAATTGAGGCTATCTTTGACTTTCTTCCATTCCAATTCTGTATGATCTTTCAACGACAGAAGGCCCCCTACAGCTACTATTGCGAGTGGTAATCCTTCACATTTTTTCACTATGGTCCGAGCCAAGGGTTCTAGCTCCGGAGGACAAGAATTGAAAGGATCATCTGAGAATGTTTTCTTACAAAATAGAGCCCAAGCCTCGCTCTGTTGCAGAGGAAGTAGGTGGTGAACATGGCTTCCGAACCCAAAGCTTGAAGCCACATCCTGTTGTCTGGTTGTAACCAGTATCCTACTTCCACATAAATTCTCTGGAAATGCAACACTTATGCTTGTCCAAACATCTATCCTCCATACATCATCTAACACAATCACGTACCTCTTTTCTTGCAGGTAGTTGATGAGCGTCTCAACCAGCTTTTTGTAATCGAATGCTTCCAAATAATTATTTGGGAGCAATTCCTGCTTCGCGTCGAATTCTACTATTGTTCTTCTTAGCAGCTGTTCGATCTTGTAATTCTGAGATACTGAGACCCACGCGTAGCAATCGAAGTGCCTCCTAACAATTTGGCTGTTGAAAGATTTAGCAACAAGAGTGGTTTTCCCCAACCCTCCCATTCCAACAACCGATATTACCGTCCGACGCGGTTCTCCGTCGGTCAACCAGCCCACCAATAGATCCCTGTTTTTCTCAATTCCGACAATGTCTTCATTCTGGACGAAAAGGGATAACTCTCCTTGATGCCCCCTCCTCTCTCCATTCTCATACGTATGCTTTTCTCCTTCAACCATCCTGTCAAAGCCATATCTCTTGCTTCTATCAGATACCGACTGAACTCTTATTCTAATTCCTTGCAGCTGCTTGGCAATTCGATGCCTTGTCCAAAGATTCTTGGGAAGATAAATGGTATTGAGAAGGAAACGCATAAATCTGCTGCCTCCTCGATGCTGCCCCTCCATGCTGTACATGAATTCATCAATCACGTCTTCCACATCATACGCTATATCTCTCACTTGTGCCACCCAAGTCCGAATTCCATGGACCTCAATCTTCTTATCTGCATCTCTTAGGAAGGATTTTATGCTTTCCAGCTCTCTTTTGGCTTCATCAAGTTCGTTTTTCAATCCTCCCAGCAAGGAGAACTCATCCTCAAGCAAAGAAGTTAATTTCATGGCCACGAGGCTCACCACTGTTTCTGCCATTTTTGCTCTGCAACTCGCTTGGCCTTGGTGGTTGATAATTTGGTATTATGCCCCTCCTTGCTCTTGATGACACCCTCTACTATTTTCCCTACATTACGGTGATACTTTGACAAAAAAAAAAAAAAACCAATACTTTAATAGTTGCCTTTGCGTGTAAGCCCACAACCCGAAATATTAAATCAGATTATTTTAGAACAATAGGTTAATATTTTAACAAAGGAAAAAATATAGGACAAAATGGAACATTAAGTTTATACTTGCCACACATTTATAATAATTCATTTATTTTTCTATTTCATGCTACACCTGTAAACTTGCGTGCCCAAATTAAATGGTTATATTTTTCTATTTCATGCTACACCTGTAAACTTGCGTGCACAATTCTGATAGCACCTCAGCCTGCACTCTTCAGTAAAGCCTTAGCTTTTTTAGAAAGCTTTCGATTTGCCTCTTTTCTTGGTATTTTTACTGTTGTATTTGAAGATGATGCACAATTTTTTATTAATCTCTTGTTGGAGGATACCCTTACCCCTCCATGGAGTATCTATTCTCTTCTTATGAATTGCAAGAGATTCCTATCCCACCTTCAAGACTATTCAGTTACTTTTGCTCCCCGACTTTGTAATCAGGTTGCCCATAGGCTCATTAAACATGCTTTGTCTTGTTATTAGCACGCACTTGGTCTATAGCACCTACTTTTTTTATTCATTTTTTAGAATCTGATGTAACTGAATAATTGTTGAATGGATCAGCCTTTGGGTTTTTTCAAAAATAAAAAATAAAAAGGGATTATCTAATCAATTGTGCAATCACCATTAACTTCATTCACAATGTCCAAATTAAACTACTTCCAAGGATTCAAATGGCAAACAAGAAATACAAAACTACCCAATCCAATGTCCTTTTATATATGAAGATGTACTCTCATTATAAATAGATACGAACTAGGAGTAGCAATGCAAATGAATTGGATTGGATTTAAATTTGGGGTATATTTGAATTCAATCTCTCTCTCTCTCTCACTCTCTCTCCTCTCTCTCTCTCTCTCTCTCTATATATATATATATATATATTAAAATTAGTCTGTCCATGTCAGCATGTCTCTCATTTGAGAGAAGCTATTTATCTATTTTCTCTATTTTTTGCATTTTTTTTATTTTCTTTTGTTTTAAAAATATAAAACACTAATCATTGCCTATCTTGATTAGATTAATAACGCTACACACTATTAGAGAGACCTTTGGGTTTTCCAATACCTCTTATTTTAATGCGTGTTGTTATTACATTTAAAAAAGACATTTAAGAGAGAGACCTTTGGGTTTTTCAAGGACTCTTATTTTAATTCATGTAATTATTATATTTAAAAGAGAGAGAGAGAGAGAGAGAGAGAATAATAATAATATAAATCAAGGTTTTTAAAACTGAACCGGACAACAAACCGGTCAAAGGTCCGATTCTCGGGTCAAAAATTAAAAAAAAAACAAAAAATGGCACGTCTTAACAAAAAATTAAAAATTATAAAAACTAAAAAATGGTCAAAACCGTTGGATGGTTCAAATGGGTTGACCACCCGAGTCAGTGGTTTGTTGACCAAATCAACATTTTTTGGTGAAATAATGGTTATGGGGTAAAACGGAACCGGTTCCAGATTTGAAAACCATGATATAAATCAAATGATAAAAATAAGTTTAGGTTAAACAATAAAAAAATTATTACTTAAAAAATCCACTAAACTTTCACTAAAAATAAATATTAGAAAAACTTAGTAAATATTAAGAATGTGTTTCAATTCCACTTGAAAATCCAACTTAATAAACAGTAATAAAAATAAAAATTTTACATATAAAAATATTAATTGATAGTTTTAATAATATTAGTAGATAACTTATGAGTTAAGACCTTAATAAACGCAAATAAAAAATATTAATTGATAGTTTTAAAAATACCAACAATTAATTAAAAATCCAAAAAGTTATGAAAACCTAAACATAATTAAACTGATAAAAATAATTAAAAAATATTGAAAATTATAAATGTTTTATATTAAAAAGGGTATTTACAAAAAATAATTAAAAAGTACAATTAATAGTATTTTATTGTTAAAAAATATCAAAATTTATTAAAAAATACCCAAGCCAGAAATTATTGAAAATTAGTTGTATTTTTTTTAACTATGGTATTTATTTAGTTATTTATTTTATTTTTACTGAAAGCAAATGCAAATTAATTTTGTAGTGACTAATATGCAAATATAAATGATGAAAATACTGACAATTATTGAAAAATACTCATTACTGAATAATGAAAAAACACTAAAATTTATTCATTACTAAATAATAATGAAAAACACCAAATTATTTAAAAATCCGAAAATACTTAAAAACCTAAAGCTTAATTAAAATACTAAAAATAATTAAAAATTAAATTAATTGTATTTTATTAAAAAAATACTAAATAATAATGAAAAAATTAATGTATTTTACTTATTAAAAGTAATATAGATAACAAAAATTATTTTTAAATTGTATTTAACAGTTGTTATAATTTAAGCTATAAATAGCAGAAAAGTACACTTTATTACTAAAAAATTACATTTAATTAGTTTTAGCCAAGAAATTAGCAATATTTCAAAAAATATGATAATTTCTGGAAATTATTGTATTTTAAATGAATATAGTAATTTAATATTTACAATATTTTAATAGCTAACAATATATTAATAATTAATAATAAAAAGTAACAAATCATTTATAATTACCATCATGAACTTTTCTTTTGAAAAATTTGGTTGAATCAAGTGCTTCATTCTGTCTCCTTAATAGTATTTAAAAATATTACAGGAGTTTTGATATAAGGGGCAACCTTGAGGTAGGATAAGATAAAGGTGAAGTACAAATAGAGATGGAATACAGTTGGAGATAAAATAAGGATAAAGATGGAAAGGGGTAAGCGTTGAAGATGGAAGGATGAGTGGGAGTCTCAACTGTGTCTGGTTCACATAGGTTACATTGATGTACACTTAATACTCCCCCTCAAGTTGGACCTAGAGCAAAAATAGACTGGACCAACTTGCAACATAGGTGCTGGAAGGCGATTTTACCCAATGCTTTGGTGAAAATGTCAACCACTTGAGAATGAGAATTAATGTATATAAGCTAAAGAAGACCATTTTGAACTTTTTCTCAAATGAAATGACAATCCAATGCTATATGTTTTGCTCGCTCATGAAAAGTTGGATTCTTTGCCATAGAGATAGCAACCTGATTGTCACAAAAAATGGTGGTGGAGGGGAGTAAGATGTTGAGGTCAAGTGAATGTTTTTTATTGATTCCAAGATTTTGCACAAAGGCAAGCCACACAAAGTGATAGATTTTGATGGATTTCGATGGGTATTCAGTTATGCCTAAAGGCAGATTGCACAAAGTGAGAGACTTCGATGATTTTTTATGGGTATTCTATTATGCCCGAAGGCATATCGCACAAAGTGAGAGATTTCGATGAATTTTTATGGGTATTGATTATGCTCGAAGGCATATCGCACAAAGTGAGAGATTTTGATGATTTTTATGGGTATTTGATTATGCCGAAGGCAAATCGCATGATGCGAAAGATTTTGATGGGTATTTGATTATGAGAGATTTCAATGAATTTCGATGAGTATTTGATTATGCCCGAAGGTGGATCATACAAAGTGATAGATTTCAATGAATTTGGATGGGTATTTAATTATGAGTTGATGAATTTTGATGGGTATTCGGTTATGCCCAAAGGTAGATCGCACGAAGCAAAAGATTCGATGAATTTGGATGGGTATTTGATTGTGTCCAAAGGCGGATCACACAAAGCGAAAGATTTTGATGGGTATTCAATTATGAGTGATTTCAATGAATTTTGAAGGTTATTCAATTATGCCCGAATGCAGATTGCACAAAGCGAGAGATCTCGATGAATTTTGATGGGTATTCGATAATGAGAGATTTCAATGAATTTCGATGGGTATTCGATTATGAGGGATTTCAATAAATTTTGATGGGTATTCGATTATGAGAGATTTCAATGAATTCGGATGAGTATTTGATTATGCCCGAAGGTGGATTGAATGAAGCGAGAGATTTCGATAAATTTTGATGGGTATTCGATTATGAGTGGTTTCAATGAATTTCGGTGGGTATTAGATTATGAGGGATTTCAATGTATTTCGATGGGTTTTTGATTATGCTTGGCGGAAGATCACACAAAGCGAGAAATTTTGATGATTTTCGATGAATTTCATAAATTTTGGATGATTTGGATCAAAGAAAGCTTAATGATTATTGACATTTGGATTTAAACTTAGATGAAAACAACTTGCACAGAAGGATTATGAGAGGAAAAAAAATAGGTAACTTAGGATTTGGGTAGATGATGCAAAGAAGTTCAGATTAGATGCATGCCAAAATTTTGGATTTGATGAAAAATTTTTGAATAATGGAGATTTATATGAAAATTCTTGGATGGTTGGGATGAAAGATTTTTTAATGATTTTGGATTTTCTGGAAAACTTTTGGATGATTTAAAAACAAAGTTTTGGATGCTTTAGATGAAAGGAAAAGGGATTTTATTGAGTTTCTCGCTACGTGATGATGCAAGACAATATTAATTTCTTCACCACAAGGGACTTTAATGCCACCAGGGACTTTGATGTTGTGAGGGACTTTAATGCCACAAGGGACTTTAATGTCATGAGGGATTTTGATGCCGTGAGGGACTTTGTTGCCATGATGATCTGTAATGCCACGAGGGACTTTAATGCCACAGGGGACTTCGATGTCACACGAGACTTTAAAATAGATTTGATGTTCAAACATTGATTTCTATGCCATAGTGCAGGAAATGATATGACTATCTAAAAGCTGGATGATTTTAAAAAGCATGGTAAATGGGTGAGGATCCTTTTCTTCTTTTCTTGTGATGGTTGTCAATTTTGAAATATTAGGGCTGGAGCAGAGGATAATGCATAT